TAACGCTTTATGCTCGATATGAGAAAGGTGAGGTAAAATATTTTGATGATAATCGCAAGCAATGTGTTGTCTACATTGATGTTTGGGGGCGTCACGGCAACTTCGCCATTATCATTGAAGTTAAATTCAATTCTGATGCTACTGGTGAACCTGGCAAAATTGGATCTAAGACAAAAAGCTCCCTTGCTGCTGCAGAGGAAATAGTTGAACTTCTACCTGGTAAAAAAGAAAGAGAAGGCGGATCCGGTGGTAAAGCTGGCACTGGCAGAGATTTAGAGAAATTGAAATTTAAAGACATTAAGGAGTACGTTCTTATAGGTCTGGCTGTGGATGGTGATTATACTACTCATATGCTTGTCTTTCGAAATACATCCAAATGGGAAAATGTAATTCAAGTTAATCCTGAAAAGCATGTTGTAGAACTAATATCAACTTATCTAAAATGATAYAACTMSTGAGAATGGTGTTATGATATTGAGACTTATTTACTGATAAGATTTTGCTTTCTCTTCATTTAATAAATTTATTTTGTGGAAAAAGCGCATTTTTTTTGTCTTTATACCTTTGCTTGTTGCACTGTTATTGATGTAGCAATGCTGATTTGCTGATGTTGAATATAATTGTGAAAATTAACCAGAGTATTGAACAAAACTGTTGATTCGTCAAGGGCTCATGAGTTGAAGAAGAATTCAGGATTGATGTAAGTCAATGTCTTGATATTTATTAAATGTTATAAGTAAAATGTAATTCGTCTGACATTCTGTTCATTTTCAACGGTTGTGTCTAAAATTAAAGTAAATCAAATAACTGAATCCTGACTGACCCACGAACGTGGTTTTTAAGTATATTGTTGTAATCGTTTTTCAATGTCATAAAAGAAAAACATTGTTTTCGCAATGTCCAAAACATGGTAGTAATTAATAACTAGAATAATTATATTTATTGTACTGTTATCACTGGGAAGTTGTAACACGTGTTGTACTTAACCGAAAATTAGGTACAGGTAGGCAATTGCTTATCTGAATTTGTGTTTTTGTAAAGGTTTTTAAATATCGCAGAGACTATTCTTAGTTTGCTAGTATCATAATCCAGAGGGTTGTCCAAATCACAGTAGGTATTTGACTGCAGCTATTTTTTTATACTTGGAAGTAAGTGAATAATCTCATTTATCGGAAGAAAGGCATACCTACGAGGGTGGACCCCTATGCTCCACCCCTGACCCCCTTACATTCAAACTACAGTGGTATTATATTTTTTATTTTTTGACATAGTTTTTGTCCGACCACCTCTACAAATCTCCTCTCTACAGCTTGTATCAATTCATATTTCCACTCTTTACTTTGCAGTTTTGGTTTGGGATCATAGTGATGCACCTATGACTCGTCTAGGGTCACATACGAACTAAGAAAGTTTTCTTTGTTTGCTTGGTACTTTTCCAAAAGACGCTCACAAGTCAACACCCGATTTCGTTTTTGATCACATTCGGGGCACCCATCTTTTTCATATCTAATTCTTTATTCAGTATGTGGTGCACCACATGATATGATAAGCCAGTATCTCCCACAATGTTTCTGATGCGTACTCGTCGGTTTTTCAGTACGATATCGTGTACCTTTTTAATATTTTTGGCTGTTGTTGGAGGACCACCGGCATGCTGGTTTTTACAGGATGTTCTTCCGCATTTCAAATCTCGACACCAATGTTTGACTATGTCATAAGAAACTGCAGACTTCCCAATAGTTGCCACAATGTCTTCATGAATTTGAGTTGACGTTATACCCTTTTTCTGGAGGTATTTTATTACGGCTCTCTGTTCTACAGGTTCAATTTTTATAAACAATCACAACATACAGTTAAAGAATTGGCTACAGCACAGCAACGGTTTGAGATACAAAGTAGATATTTTGCGGATATGATGTACAAATGTCAGTTAACTAACTGTTAAAAATATAAATCAAACAACCACTTAGAAGTAAGTCAGGCGTGGAGCATAGGGATCCACCCTCGTATATGAGTTCATAGCAGCATATCTAAAGACTGTATCATACAAGGGTAAATTTTATATAAAATTTGCATTAACATTATCTAAGAATTCTTTGTAGCTGGAATAATTCTGTTTGTTTTAGTAATTTTTTTTATTTACAGTTTTCAAAGTTAGTCCAAGTTTTCCTTTTTTTATTGGAAAGAATCTGCAAGAAAATATGGTACGGGGAGTAATCAAAAGATTCAAGATGAGTTCAACACTAAGAACAATAGAATATCGACTCCAAAGGGCCGAAGAGCGAACCAGAAACCTAGAAAAACAGGCCAGAAAGACGGAAGAAAAAATAAAAACCCTAAATGTCCAAATGGGATACTTACAAGTCGGACAGCTTATTAGTTTAACACGATATTTTTTTCTGATAAAATTTTATTGAAATTTAGCGTTGAAGAGACCTGATTAATTAATAGATGAAAAGGTAAATTTTGGAAAAATTTTTACTATGGATTCTCTGAAGATGAAGTTTCTACTCTATTTAATCGGTTTGAAGTAAAGGAGGAGTTGAGGGAAAAAGCGAAGGCTAAATTTAATGGGTATTTAAATGGCTCGAAAAAACGCCTGTACAAGGTGATCCTTTTAGGGCCTATATTAGAAACTTTTTAACTTCTAATGCAGATAGAAATTTGAAATTTTGTACACAACCCAAATCAACCAGTCTGAGTTCAACTAAATTATTTTCAAAATGGCTGAACTTCCGGAACTACGAGAAATTGGCGCCAACTTTGAAATTTTAAATGGTACCCATTTATTTTTATTGCATTTTTGAATTCTCCTCTTTAAACTAAGTAAAATGTAGTTGTTAGTACCTATCTATCATAGTTTTTGACATATGTCAATTTTTTGGTCAAAATTTTCACTTGCAGGGGTTCATTCAAAACATCACAGCTCTTGAACCCTTTGCGATAAGTGAATATTTCTTGTTGCATTCGAGAACCAAAGGTTCGAAAAGTTTTCTAGAATTTTCAAAATTGTCGACTGTCAAATTGCAAGGCTAGTATGATTTTTTGAAAATGATCGTTAACAAACAGCTTTAACTCAGTTTTTTCAAATGAAATGAGTCTATTTTCTCAACGGCAATCAAAACTACATCAATTTGTAGGACTTTTATCAACATGTCCTATACCTATCTCTTACAGTTTTTGAAATAATCACAAAAAACATGTTTTTATTTTTATAGTTAATCACGTAGGCTTTGGAAAAATACAATAAAGATATACCACAATTAATACAAATGTTCGATATGTTTACCATTTTCAAACAGTCCAAAACTCGATGGTGAACTGATTTAAGTGGCTTCCATTAGTTCATTTGATTGAAGATTATTAAATGCCGCCTCAATTCTTTGTAATTCCGGATGGGTGTTGTGTAGACTAATAAATCTTTAATAAATAATTAATAAATCTTTAATTGCCGTTGAGAAAATGGGGTCATTTTATTTGAAAAAACTGAGTTATAGCTGTTTGTTACATATCATTTTCAAAAAATCATATAAGCTTTGCAATTTGACAGTTGACAATTTTAGGAAACTCTTTGAACCTTTGGTTATCAAATGCAAGAAAAATTATTTACTTATTATAAACGGTTCAAGAGCTGTGATGTTTTTAATAAACCTCTGCAAATGAAATTTTTGAGCAAAAAATTGACATATGTCAAAAACTATGATAGTTAAGTACTAACAACTAGGTACATTTTACTCAGTTTGGAGAGGAGAATTCAAAAATGCAATAAAAATAATTGGTTACCATTTAAAATTTCAAAGTTGGCTAATTAGAGCTGTCCGTAAAGACCAACCCATATAATAATTCCTAAGCAAAAACCGTCCTCAGTGAAATTAATATAAATATTATTTTTTAATTTTTTAGGTTTACGTATTGGGCTTACTGCCTTTATATTACACCTATCTATTATTTTAATTTATTTTTAAATAGACGAATAATTAAAAAAAGAAGTTTTGGAATGGGTTACACCCTGGGGTGCGGTCGTATATCTTACAGCAGGTACACGACATTTATGAAATGATGTGTATTATTGGTTGCCTACTTTCAATTTAATTTTTGCTTTATATCAAAGAATCAAGAACAGTTATCAAATTCGCATTATATCATGGCGATCACCTAAATCTGTTCAAATTCGGTTTTTATTTTGTTTTTAGAATATGTTTTTTATATTTCTAATTATAATAAAATATTAATTACAAAGTTTATATTGTTTTAGTAGAAATGAAAAGCCTCCTTTTTAATATTGGACTTTAATAATTGGAAGCTGGTGTGATGGGTTTTAACGGTTCTTAGTTACGCAGCGGAAGACTGATGAAGTAGGCCATGTTTTTTACAAAAATAAATTATAAAACTACAAATTTTACTTTTGCATCATTACTAGGGTGTAATAATAAGTTTTGTAGTCGATGTAACGCTTTTAATTTAATTATTTATTCAGAGTTAAGATTTTTGTGCAATTTGAAAAAATCATAAGCGACTTGATTTGACAATTTTTTTCCAACCAATGAAATAATTTCAGGGTGGCTGAAAGCTTCGATTAAATTGATTATTTCAGGAAAATTGCGTTTTTCAGTTTCATTTTTAGTGTTCCCAAATCGGCTTTTCTGATTTTCCAAAAATTTGTTGAAATCTTGGGACGACAAAACCGGAATTTTGTCTACAAAAGTAAAACTCTCATTTCTGACTGAAATTGGCCGTTTTTCAGTCCTTGTCTTTGAAAAAATGTCTTTACATTTATTAACAACGTCGAGTGCAACGTCCAAAGTCATACTTCCAATTTCCTGTAACAATTTTCGATATAAATTTGCTAACATGTGACAAAAACAATACTTGGTCAGAATTCGGGTTTAAAATCACTTTTTTCGTTTCAAAGTCAAGGTTTTGTGTCACTTGTGTGATGAAAAACTGCACTAGAGCCTCCTTGAACCTCTCTTCGTGATCCTCAGGCTTAAAACATTTTTTTTAGTATTAAATTAAAGACAAAATGTGTTTTTGGTACCAGAGGCACCCAAACGTTGACACTAATTGCCGTATCTAAATTTTCGACATAGTGCCACCATTTGTGGGGCACAAATAAGGCATCTCCTGGCTCCAGGACAACTCTCCTACAATTTCCAACTCCTAACACAATTTAAATAACTTCATTTTTCCCAAATACCGTTAAAATCTGCAATAGTGGGGCTAAAAAAGTTCAATTTGGAGTAAATACTCGACTCTTCGTAGGGAATTCTTGTGGGTTTTAAGTCCTCCCCAGGGGGGAATAAAATCCATTGTTTTCTGCAATTTTGCGTCAGTTTTTGCCCCAAAATGGGTGAAACTCACCGGCCGTGAATCTGGGCAACTATATTACAACCGTAAGTGTCGATATGACACGGGGTGTGGGCCCCTTGAGACCCAATCCAAATTGTGGAGTCCTCTGAAGACAGTTCAGGAAACCCGAAAAGGCCCCAATTTATTTCCTACAATTTTGATCGATTGTATGAAAAACAACAAGAAATAGCTCAAGAGACTTTTTTCAACTCTTTGCTGGTTTTAAAGCAGTCTTTGAGGTATTTGTAGTCGAAATACATCCAACCATTGGGGGCACTTTCCGTAAACGAAATAAACTCCTCAAATGGGGCGTTTTTAGTCCCCGTGGTGCGCTCCCATTGGGGCTCCTTAAAAAAAAACATAAATGGGGTTTCACAAGGGTTTGGTGTACTTGAGTGAAGGATTTTGTGCCACAACGAAACAACAATTCTTCATTTTTGAGCATGTTACGCCAGTCGGGGAGGCCCCACGTCACTAAGCCCCAATTTATGTAATTTTTGAACACTAGAGGCTCCTTCGAGCTCAAAATCAAGTCTTTTATTTGTTGCTCCATTTCTCAAAAAATATAGGTTATGTAAAACAAACTTGAAAGTGGGGGCTTTTAGGCAAAAAAAACCACCATCAGACTACTTTATTGCATTAATTATATGGCTTTTTCCTGAAATTTAGTGTCAATTCTGTTTTATTTGCGTTTTTTGTGTGATTTCTAGGTTATGTCAAGTGTCAAACTTGGCGCGAAATTTGAAATGAGTAAAAACCACTGTGAAAACCGAGTGTTTTTATTGCTAAAATTAAAATCAGGTGTTCGTACAGTGATAAAAGAAAGCTGGAATCGTTGGTTTCAAAACAGGAACTAAATTTTTGTACTATGAAACCAACATTCAATTGCACTGGAATCTCAATAAATGGCTCCGAAATAACACAGATCGAATTAAATTAAAGGCCTCTTGTTTCACCTTTGTAAAACAAATGCTTGAATTTCCATAGGACACATAATTAAGTCACCTCTGATATTAACTTCGTTTTTCATTAATAAAAACGACAAAGACGTTTTGTGTAATTTACTCGCAGTTTCGGTGGGCAAAAGTGCACTAATGTTGACCTAAAACCACCAAATTAAACTTGAATTTGTGCAAAAAACCCCAAATACCGATCCTTGACTCAAGGGGAATTGTTTCAACAGTGTGGAATCGGCGAAACAGACATCGAGAAATTGTCGGTGAATCACAAAACCGACATGATCTTGCCCTTTTAGGGTCACTCCAGTTCGCAATGTTGGTACCATAAAATCAACCCCAAACTCCGACTCCACACTTAGATAACTCGCTTGGGACACCAAATCCTCGTCATCGGTACGCAATAACCCCACTAGGGGGTTCAATAAACTCTGCGAAGCCACAAACGATGATAAAGTTGGCAATCCTGACGGGTGCCCCTCCACGGTGGCCTACAATCAACAATTTAACACAATTCAAACACAGTTGGAATAATTACGCGACACGAGGCCCCCTTCCGTTCCAACACCACTCTAAAGACATGTCTCGTGGGGTGATTATCCAAAACCGGTTGCCCCAAGCCCAAATTATCGTCTTGATTCAGTCTCCGATCGAGCATTATTTCAACCTGGCCTTGGCGCAGAGAACTCGCCCCGAGGGGGCTCCCGGTCAAGATTGTCAGTCTTGTGGTGGAGTCTTCGATGTAGGCCGTCGTCGGCATTGGATAGTAATTGGCTTGAAGGGGGAGTTTGTGGAAACGTTTCCTTCGAATTATTTCAAAACCGTTCAAATCGGTATAAAAATGGTCAGAACTTTGGATATTTGTCGATAAACGCATCACAAGCTCGAAATTTGACGTTTTTGAAATGTCGACGATGTTTTCGATCTCGATTCCGAGACTATCAGCACCTGAAACATGAGTTTTTTTTAACAAAATTTGAATTTCCCGCGAATTTCACCACTAGGTGGCGCTGGTGTTATTAACTTGAACCGCGAATAGTTGGCTGTGGTAAATCCCTGATTTTAGCAAAATTACGCGTTTTCAATGTTTTAGAAGTAAATTTGTGATGGTTTTGTGTAAAAATCGTGTAAAACTAAAACTAGTAACTAGGAATAGTAGTGGTAGAACGTCTGTAACGTGTTGTGTTTCATAACCTAACTTTTTACACCATGGTCAAAAACTGTGTTTTGTGCCATGCAAAGTGATGAGAAAGTCATTTTCTTCAATATTTATAAGTAATTAGTTATTATTTCGGTATTATTGAATTTTTGCTGGTTAGGAGAATGTTACTGGTCGATTCCTGTAAGTTTCGGCCAATCAAAACATCACATTTGAACATTTGAATTTTTCCGATTACATGATTGGTTCGTTATTTCTATTGGCAACACTGAATTAATTCAAAGTCAAACTGTGTCAGGTGACGGCAATACCAGCAACCACCCGTCGGAACAAAATGACAATTGAGTATAAAATTTTGACATTTAATCATCAGCACCTGAAACATGAAATTTTTTAAGAAAATTTGAATTTCCCGCGAATTTCAGCACTAGGTGGCGCTGGTGTTATTAACTTGAACCGCGAATAGTTGGCTGTGGTAAATCCCTGATTTTAGCAAAATTACGCGTTTTCACTGTTCTAAACGTAAATTTGTGATGGTTTTGTGTGAAAATCGTGAAAAACTAAAACTAGTAACTAGTAATAGTAGTGGTAGTACGTCAGTAACGTGTTGTGTTTCGTAACCTAACTTTTTACACCACGGTCAAAAACTGTGTTTTGTGTCACTGAAAGTAACTAAAAAGGGTGAAAAGCGATAGCGTGTAGCTCGAGAAAGACATTTTCTTCAATATTTGTGAGTAATTAGTTATTATTTCGGTGTTATTGAACTTTGCTGGTTAGGAGAGTGTTATTGGTCGATTCCTGTAAGTTTCGGCCAATCAAAACATCACATTTGGAAATTTGAATTTTTCCGATTACATGATTGGTTCGTCAGTCAAACTGTGTCAGGTGACGGCAATACATTGACATTTAATCATCAGTGCTACCACCTTTACATAATTTACCTGTGGAACTATACAGGGTGACTGTATGTCGCACATAGGGCAATTGCACCGTAACTGATGACATAATTGGCCCTTGAATGACATTAACGATCGTATTTTCGATCTGTATCGGAATCGCATCACCATCGGGTAAAAACAAATACGCACCGCTTCGTTCCACGGCTTGTCTAACTCCATATCTACGATAAAAATAATCAAAAAACGCTTTTTTCAGTTTTAATACAATACTTGGCAAAATCCAAATGAACGGGAACTGTATTTCCCCCAACGCTTAACGCTTTGAGTAATCCCAAGGCGTTAAAACTCGCCGTTAGTCGATTGTTTTGTAAGGTGAATTCTCGCGTACTCGGCGATACCTCAATATCAGTGAAACCAATCGGTGCCTGTACTTCCCCGTATTGATTATAAATCCTTATTGAACTTCGGACGGTTTCGCTACAACTCGGAAATAAATAAAAACGAGTAGAAATGTCACGTGACTCACGTTGGTGATTCATACTCCCATAATGCACCAATCGTGTAACTGACCAATCCAAATGCTGGAATATTGACAACGAATGACAGTTGGTATTTAGTTTGTGACATTGAAGCGCCATATTCAAATATTGGAGAAATTTGACATTTGATACGACGTTTTTTCAAATCTAAAACTTCAACATAAGGTGTTGACACATGAAATGTCACAACTTCGATTCGATTAAATGTCAATGAATTAAAAATGGCGATTCGTTTCGTTCTCAATTCTGGTCCAATAGTAATTTGATATTTTTCACCAATCGTATCATGTGAATGTCTGACGTCATCAATGTTATAAAAGAGGGCGCTATGATCGGGTGTTTCAGCATCTTTACCCGAAAATAAAATATGAGCCGAGTGTTGAATCACATGGTGACAATTATTCAAAGCTGCCAACATTCTAAAACCATAAATTACTATTTAAAGAAAACAAAACTATGTAAATTAGACTTTTTTCCATAATCAATAACCACGTGATCTTTAGCGGTTCCTGTAATACCGTCATGGTGTTGAAACAATGCTAGGGATTTTCTCGCATCTGACAATTGTTTTTCCAAGCCTACTTCACGATCACCAATCCATGCCGAACCCGGTTTACCACTCAAATATGCCAAAGTTAGGATTATTTCAGCGGCTCTAGAAAAAATTAACAATGCAAATCGGGTCAATTCAAGGTAAAACTAACCTAAGATTTGCGAGTAAAATCCGATCCAGGCGTTTATAGAACGGTCTTGAGGTGTAATAACCGCTCCAATAGTGATCATCTCTGTCTGCATAAGTGAAAAAATCGCCCGATAATGAAGGAAAATCGTTATCTTTTCGTTCTTTATGCACAGCATCGAAATAATCACTAAGTGTGCCAAATTGTGCTTGAACGTTTAGATTTAGATTTGAATTCATATAATCGAAGAGTTTTTGATAGTTTCGATACTGGACATCCCATTCAGTTGAGTGGTCGTAGCGGAAATCGTCTCCAAGGGGTGCAAGAACCACGTTGGTTTTGTAAAGTTTGGACTTTTTCCGGTATTGGTCGAGCAAAAGTTCAGCTCTGGAAAAATTTTGCATATATAGGGGGTGTCCCAAAAAAAAACTTACAAAACTTCAGGGGGTGATTCTTCAAGTCAATGTAAGAAAAAAAGTTCCTATGGACTTGTGTCCAGAAATGCTTCCCAATGGAGTTAGAGCGATAAAAAATGTAAAAAAATCTCTTGTCTTATTTTTTTATGAATTTTACTAAACTGGCAACGTTGTAATGTAGCAGCAAAAATAATGAAAGCAGCGAACAATTAAGATTATTTCTATTTCCCAAGAAACCAAGACAAAATTGATATTAAAATAATTCTTATCCAATGTTGTCAGATATAATTTTAGGTAAATTACACCTAATTTTTTTTAAATAAAAAATTACTTGTCCAAGTCTTACACAAATAAATTTTTACTGTTAACAACGAAATAATGTTTTAGAAAACATAACAAATTAACATAGACCAGAATTATAAAATTTATTCGTCAACTTTGAAGCTTAATAGTTTCTAAACTTTGGTTTACAAAATTTTTTAATTATTTTTTTGAAAGTTTTTAGAAAATTTAAAAACCAACAAGCTTATCCGTCTTTTTTTTGATCACTGTGTATAGGGTGTAACGAAAAGAGGGGAACAAAGACTAACCTGACATTCTTCAGGTCAAAATAAAGCGATTTAACCTCACTTATCTTTCTACCAAGTTGCATCGTTTAAAAGTTAGAGGGCGTCAAAGTTGAATACTTTTTGTCCCTATCTTTTCGTTACACCCTGTATAAAATAAATTCATTGCGTCGGTTGCTTTTCGGAATTAAATAACACAAAAGACATTTTTCTTAAGAAAATGAAATAACAAATCAGAAAAAAAATTATTAAACATTCCAAAGCAAAATTTTTTGCCTTAAATAAGTTGAACTAAATTACCTCGGGAGTAAAATTACTTACTGAGATAATTGAAAAAAAAAGTTTTTTTGCTCGCCATTTTCATAAGGCTTTATCTCCCTTAGAAAACATTTCCGGACCAAGACTCAAAGGAATTTTTCTCTTATACGGCCATGAAGAATCATCCCCCGAAATCTTGTAACGTTTTTTCCGGACACCCTATATATTTTTTATACAGGGTGTTGTTTTTATTGTTGCAAATTTGATCAGTTTCCTAGAGGGGTCACACCTGTAGGCAACGTTCTTTTCGTTGATTTCCTGCGGGGGCACTTTCCAAGGACAGTGAAGACCGTGTCCTGGGAGTCTTTTAAAGTCAAATTGACAGCAAATTTTAGGGTCGGGACCACAAGTGTGGGGTACATCGTAGCCATAGAAAGGCATCATGTGAGTGAAAATGTCCGTTTTTCCGGAACCATCTGAAATTTTTTATGATTTTTTTTTTCATTTTTTTTTTCTACTCACCCCACGGTTGTCTCCACCTGAACTCCAATTGTTGTTTACTCGCCAACTCTTTTTTGACCGAGTAATGTACCCTTTGCATTAACATATTCCTAAACCCCATTTCTTTCAATAAAAGGGGCTGTGTTAGAGACATACCAAAAGGGTCAATTGACCAACTACTAATGGGTGTGTAATTTAAATTTTGTTGTAACCATTGATGACCTTCTGTTAATTGTTGTATTACGGAAATCCAATGTGAATTCGCTTCGTCGTTCATCACCCAACCTCCAGTTACAATTTCTAATTGATTATTTTTGATTAATTTTTTTGCAACTTCGCGTTCGTCCTCTCTTAAATCCTCCCACCACATCGAAAAATAGGATATTTCCGCCCAGATGAATTTTCGACGTGGATCTTCTGGCAGTTTTACCAACATATTATTTAAAATATGTTTGGTTTGAGTGAGATAATAGTCTTCGATTGTTTTAATCCAGCCTGGATCATTATGAGAATGTGGAACAACGAAAACTTTCAGTTTGTTTTGTCTATTCCAGTCTTTTTCATCAACTTCGATTTTCCAGCCTTGTTTCCAGGCGCCCCCATCTGGATTATCAAACTTTAATCGTTGGTAAACATCCAGCATTTGAATGTCGGTTTTTGGAATAAAATTCAACTGGAATGGACAGTTTGTTTCGTACAGAAATTCGGTTATAACCGATTTGATAGTAGCCCCCTTTTGAGACATTTTTCTAGCACTGTTTGTGCTCGTATTTAATGGAATTATGTTTTTGATCACGTTTTTTATGTCTTGGACTTCGTTTCCATGCCGGTTTAAGTCATGTTCCAGTTGTCTTATTCGATCTTCCAAATGTGACCATTTCTCCTGAAAATTAAGTCAGAAATATGCACACCAATGGGGGCTCAGAACTCACATTATCGTCACTCACAACTGGGAGTTTTTTACCAACAAATTCCGAAAAATCCCGTGTTGAGTAAATCTCGACTATTATAAGGACGACAAGGGCTGCGCCAATTAGGGCCACAGCCCTTTTTAATCGCATCATTGGGGCCCTAACACCTTACGCAACTATCCTAAAACAATGATTGATTTTTCGAAGAATAAAAGTGTGACAACGAAAGGGTTTATGAATTTTGACAAAATTAAATGATTCAACGTGATTTACTTACACATTTAGTTTAAAAAAACAATTTTTTTCACTAATATTAAACACAACAATATTTGTTATGAAACGTCAAAAAGTGACACTTGATTTGGGGATTTTAGCGGTACCAACACAAAATCGCCGGCAGTGAAGTAGAGTGAAAGTTGACTTTTCTTTTTTTTTTATAAGTAACAGGGCTGTATCAAGGTTATTTTTAATTTCCTCCAATATGTTTGGAAGGAAATAAACCAAAAACCTTCTTTTCCAACGCACACTTCGACCAGGATGGGGCTTGAACGACGAGTAAGTAATGCGAAAAATTTAATGAATGAGAGGAAATTATGTCATTTTTTGATAAGATACTGCAAAAAATAATCATTTTCGCATGAAAATGGTACAAAAACTGTGTGTTTGTAATTTTGACATTTCTTTAATCATTTGTTTCAGGCTTACAACCCTAAGGAATTTTTATTTGATCCGATTTTATTGAAGGACCTTGATTGGGCTTCAATCAGGGGTTATTTGTCCCCTTTTATCACCAATGAAGCCCCCGGAGAATCATGGCTTTGCGTCCGGCCCTTACAAATCGAGGATTTTGATAAGGGCTATTTGCAGATTTTGACCCAATTGACCTCAGTGGGCAACGTGAGCCGACTTGATTTTGAACGTAAGATTTATGTCTCAAGGTTGGCAATTTAAATGTCAATGTTATGATAATTTATCAGTTTTTGATCAAATTTTTTGATAATTTTTAAGATTTGGTACCGCCCAAATGTCAACAATAAAATAATTAGTTTTGATTATTATCATTTGTCTGATTAAAAAAATTTGTTTACCGCGTTGGTCACGAAAACCCGTATGTTTCAAGGTCAATATTGGAAGATGCAACAGTCTGGGGGTTACTATATCACTGTGATTGAGGACACTCGGAGTAAAAAAATCATCGGTGCGGCTACTTTAGTCACCGAATTTAAATTTATTCACAATTGTGCGTTGAGAGCACGATTGGAGGATGTAGTTGTGAATAATACGTATAGAGGGAAACAGTTGGGCAAATTGTGAGTGTTTCCCCCAAATTTTTAGGGAAATTTATTGGTTTATTGTAGGATTGTCCTCACTGTGAGTCTCTTGGCGAAAAAGTTGGGGTGTTATAAAATGTCGCTTGATTGTAAAGATGCACTTATACCGTTTTATAAGTCAATTGGGTACAAGTTGGAGCCTGGAAATGCCAACTCGATGATAATCCGATATGAGGATGAGAAACCGTCTTGACAATTAGCCGCCAGTGTTGCCAATACCAAATCCAAATTGTAGTATTTTGGTAGCACTGGCGCTTCGGAAATTTTGGTTGTGGTACTACTGACTTAATAAATGTTTTATTGAATGAGTGTTTGATTTCTGGAGGGGTGGGTGGAAGTGATTGGGTTAGATTATCCACGATTTATTAATCTTACACATTTTTTACAACTCGCCAACAACTATTACAGTTAATTTATTGTACAGTTCACTTTCTAAATGTCACAATTACATGTAATGATATGTATAAAAATTCAAAAAAATTGAATGAATTTCAACTAAAGCCAGTTCCTCCTGTACAAAATGCAATGAATCTAATCTAGCACACTTTATAACAATTTGTAACAAGTTACTAACAATTATAGAAATACAGCGTAACAGAAGTTTGTATAATATAGCGACTCCATTTTTTTTTTTTGAAATTTTACCCATCGTACACATACAAACAATTTGGAAGACATACACTAGAGGCTAAATGGAAGACATCGTTAATATATTTTGAAAAAAATTAAATTATTGCTTGACGCCATAATTTGGTTACAGGATATTTTTTTTGGAAGACTGTTTTACATGGCCGACGCGGCCACCAAATCACAGCAGTGGATAATTTGGTCACGCAAAATAACATTGGCTGTACTGAAGTTACTAACACAAGTGTTGCCACCCTAATACGTATTTAAGATACTTGAACGTGATACATTTATTTTTCTAATTGGAAGACAAATTCAATGTTCGTTTGAAGGCATTTGCTATCAAATAATGGAAGACTGTTGAATCCCACGAACAATTTAGTGTAAATCACCGAAAACATATAATTGAATCAGTTGCGTCTTTCTACACTAAAAGCTTACGAATTGACAGTTGGTAACCTTGTCGATATTTAGCGGGATTTTTAAAATGGAAGCCCGATTTGGAAGGCGTTAATTAGGGCCCTCCCCGAGTCGTAAATCCCCACAAACCCGAAAAGCAGCCCTAGAGAAATGATAAAATAATCGAAAGCAACTGTTCTTGAATCCATCCCTTCTCTTTTTAATTTCAAATGGAAATAACAAGGCCAGATGAAACTGAGCATTGTCCCCGTGAAGCTCCCAATAAACCCCATCAAAATCGCAAAATGTGGTATAAAGCAGGCCATGAGGATGGTGAAAACCACCACCCCCACCCTGCAAGCCAGCCCCCATACCTTGAGTTCGCCGTCGAGGGCCCAAATGGTGGGGAAGGGCGTCTTGGGCTTCCCCCGGAAGAAGGCGCGTTCGAGTAGCTCGCAGGCGGCGTAGTAGGGCAAAGGGTAGCTGAGGAGGGCCTTGATGACTAAACAGAAGTTCACCAGGCCCTTGAAGCCCGCCGAGGGGAGGTTGTTGGTGATGACTTGTTGGGTGTCGTTCTGGAAGGTGAGGAAGCACACGTAGCCAAAAAGGGCCTTGAAGACGGCGGCCCACACGTGCGACCAGTCGAGCATCCATTGGAACTTGGAGGGGTCCTCCATGTTGCCCTCAAGGGTCGGGAGGAAGATTTGGGAGGTGTAGGAGAAGACGATCACGCCGAGACTTATGGGGAAGTTCTCCAAGTCGAGGGACCATTTGACCTTGCCCCAGCCCCAGTCGCCGATGTAGAGGAGGCAGTAGCCGAGGATGATGGCGTTGATGAGGATGTGTGACATGGTGCACCAGAACGAGAGTAAACTCACGCTTTGGAGGGTCTTGAGGAAGGCCAAAGGGAGGAGGAAAATCCCCACGAGCATCATCCACGATCTGGTGTCGATTGCCCCATCGGGGAAGGTGCCAATCATCAAGTCGCCACAGACCACCACGTACAAGATACAAGTCATGAGGAGTTCGATTATTTGGGCTATATTCACAATTTTTGCCCCGTATTTTTTACCAAAACATGCCTTGGCGATGGATACATAGGAGTCACGGACTCGAATTTGACGCCCTGTTTGAAGATCAAACTCGTAGAGACACTCGACGAGGATTTTACCAGTGTAACAACAGATGTAGGCGATGCCCACCATAGCAACAATGGCCCAGTAGCCTCCACGGAGCACCGCAAACGGCAACGAAACGATAAACATGCCCTACGAGAAAAAAAAAACACGTGATTCATACATTATTTTTTCTGTCGTGTAATAATAAAAATTATGACCCGCCACTGGATTAAAACTACTATGACGTTTTTTATTCTTGTTACCATGGTTACGTATAAAATTTATTGTATTTCCATGGCAACGATTGAGCCTATTCACATGTACGACTCGTCAAGGATCAAAGAAAGGGTTTTTGTTTGTTTTTTTTTTTTAATTTTTATGAGTAAGGGGGCACCTGTATGGCGTTGGTGACGTTCCAGGCGGCCTGATACTCGTTGATTTTGACGTCGCTCTTGCCCTCGACAAAGTCGGACCCCTCTGAGAAGTCCACCGAGGACATGCGAGTCTTGAGGCCCTCGTTGAAGCTGTCCTCCGCTTCGAAGTTCTCTTGGAGAAAGGGGTTAGTGGGCTTGATGTTGGCCATTTCGTGGTGCTCGTCGGAGGTGCCCCCATGTGTGACGGTGTGGTTGACTTGTGCGAAATGGACACGTTCGTGTCCGGGGGCCCGTTCGGGAATCATCTGGCGGAAGGTCTGTCCGGCCACGTTGACGGCGGCGGAGAGAGGCGGCAAACGGATGTTGCCGAGACGGTTCATTGTGATATGGCACTGATGATCACCGCCAAGATGGAAGAAACGTTGACTTGTTGTTTATTTTTCTTCTAACTTTTAGTGTGCGAAAAGTGCAGGTTAGACCATTTTCGGGGTGATTTGGTAGGTGGTGATTTCCATCTTGGCGGCGGTTGACCGGAGGAGAAGCGGTACATTGGCAGACTCCGGGTACACTCCGGGATGTGGGCAGGGGCGGACTTGGGGAGAAACAGCCCGAAATAAAGCGAAAAAGCCGAATTTCAATTAATAGTAGGCATACATATTGTTTTACTAGGATTAAAAGGATTAAAAGTAGTTTTTTTTATTTTTTTTAATAGAGATTATTTCTTCAATTAATGAACTCAAAACTTCAAAACATTCGGAAAATATATTTCAAGATTAAGCGATTTTGGTAGTAAAAAACTATAGTGTTAAAAGGTTTTACATAAAATTTCAAGATAAAAAAAATAGGTACAAAAGTTTAAATTTTGTGAAACATCGCCAAAGGCTTAAAAAATATCTAGATAGGTAATGACCATTCTAAAAATAAAGAGTTTACTATCTTGACATTTAGATTTTTAAATATAAAATTTTGAGATTGAAGATCTTTATTAATAATTGTATCAATATTTTTTTAGAATAACACATTTGAGAGTTGGAAAAAATTGCAATGTTATGTATTTTTTTATACAAAGAAAGATTTATTTGTCTCAAGATCTGAAAGAAGAAAAAAAATTAAAGATCTTGGAGAGAGTCTGTAATAGTTTGACATAAATTTTCAAGATTCGTTTAAAAATAGACACTGAAATAGCCTTTTTCAAGATCTTCGGAATAACAAAACACTCTGAATCTTAAAACAGAGGATTTCAAGATTATTGATTTTAAGATTTGACTTCTTTTTATGAGTTTTGACATAATGATTTTTTTATTGAAAAAAAAGAACTTTTTTTAACAGTTTTGACATGTTTTAAGATTAAGAGTTAAAAAAGCTTTTACTATGAAATCAAAAAACAGTTTTGAGATACGTGGTTTGTATTTTAAGATAATAAGATTTTGAGATTAAAAGTTTGTTGTAAAACAGAATGGAATTTTAAAGATTCAAGATTTTGCGCAACATGTTTTAAAATTGAAAAGAAAATTTAAAGATTTAAGTGATTTTTGGAAAAATTAAAGGTTTATAGATATTTGAAGATATGAAATAAGAGAGAAATTCAAGATATTGAGAAACTTCGTTTATGAAATTTAAGATTTTTGTAGAATTAAAGATATTGTTGACAGAAGATTAAGATTAATTTAATCTTTTCTAAAAATTATGATTTCTTAAAAATTTTTGGATTAAGGACATAGTCAAAATTTTAAATCAGAGGGTTGCAAGATTGGTAATAATTGAAATTTAGCGATTTCAAGATCTACCAATAATCTTGACACATTGAAGAATTGAATAAAGCAATTAATTAATTATCCACTTTATTTGGTAGAAATCCCCCTTAATCCGCCTCTGCCTTCACCCCAATTTCCCAACTTTCCCCCGAGTGTACTTGAAAATGATCAATAAGTTACTGAAAACTGAAATTTTAGGGACTTTGCAATTTCAGTAAATTCCAAAAACAGTTTCAAGCACCCCCACATTCCGACTTATTTCCCCCAATTTCGTCTCCCCATCACTCGAATCCACACCCAACCCCTAATCCCCATCAATAATCGAGATTTTACGCAAATTGACCTACAAAATTTACCCAAACCGCCAAATCTAGTAACTTTCAATTTCCCACTAGTGTCAAAATTTCCACCATCCCTGAAATGTTTTTATTGAATTTTTGACCGGTTCTCCTCATAAAACGCAAAAATGAGCTCTGGTTTCATCTCGGAGACCGAATTGGCCGAAGCGAGACAAAAAAGACAAGAGGAATGGGAACGCGTCCGCAAACCCGAAGACCCAATCGGTGAGCGTTTCTAACCTCACTTTTGCCAAATTTGGGCGAAATTAATCGAATTTTTCATGTTTGGGGCACAGTGCGGCCCGAGGAGCCCTACGACCACCGCAGTCTGTACGAACGGCTCCAAGAACAGAAGCAAAAGAAGGATTTGGAATACGAAGAAGCGCACAAATTAAGTAAGTCGCGCCACTTAACCGTGACATTCATTTAAAAGATATAAAAATTTATGAGTCATTCATTACGTAAGCTAACCTAAAACGGTGAAAAATTCGTGTTTTTGGCGATTTTTTTTCCTGAAATTTGTTTATTTATAGTTCGTGTTGTTTTTGACAGACATCTTTGACAAACTGAAAAAATGTTGCAACCGAATTATTATTATGACCAGAGTGAAGGTAAATCTGCTTTTGTGTCACACTTTCGTTGATTTTCTCCACAAAAATGCGTTTTTTCAGAGAATATGATAAAAGGCCTCGATGACGACGAAATCGAGTTTTTGGATCTTGTCGATAGGACGAAAATCGCCGCTGATCGTAAAAAAGAGCTCGAGGAGGAGATAGAACTGAACGATTATCGAAACAGAGTGGCCACCTTGCAGGAAAAGTCGCTGGAGGAGCGCCTCCAGGCCGAGATAGCTGTGAACAAGCCCAAGGCCCCCACGAGCAAAACCTCGCAGCAGAAGCTGCTCAAGGGGGTTGTGGTGAAGAAGAGGAAAAATAGTGATACGAAGGAGGAGAAAGAGGACGCGAAAGTTAGGAAAATTGAGGGTGATGAGACACGAGTTGGGGCCAATTCGGCGTTGAAATGTGTGGGGATTTTGCCGGGGTTGGGGTGCTACAACGAGTCGACGTCAGATGAGAATAGCTCGGATTCGGAAGTGGAGACTTGTAGCGCGAAAATTGACATTTTGGGGAGGAAAATCACGAAAAAGGAGAAGGAAACGTGAATTGACTTTTATTATTTATTGTAAGAATTGGAGGGTCTGAAATAATTGTCTGAATTAATTGTAAATAGAGTGCACCTATTATTACTGATTCCTGTTTTTTTTTTCTAATAAATTGGTGAGAAGATGTGTTTTTTTATTATAATTATTTTTAACTACAACGCGTGACACAGAAATAAGTACATGCCTTTCCGTTGATAACTTTGGAACAGAATCTGTGGTAGCGTTTTAAGTTTGGTACCACTGGAATCCCCTATTTATTTCCCAGGTATTAGGAAAAGATCATTGCTGTATTATTTTTAGTTATTGAGAAAATCGTGAAAATTTGAGTTTCAAAAATCGGGCTTTTAAACTATTTGGAATTTTCCGTTTTTTTGACCCCAATCAACTTGTCGGAGCATTTTATTTACGACTGTCTCGAAATATTTCATTTACTTTGCATAGTTTAACCGACGAGTGAAAAAATTGAGATCTGTTTTTCTCGGAAATACGAAGTTTGAGGACAAAGTGTAAAATGTGCAGAAAATCTAAAACGGCGAAAACCCGGGACAAATCGGAGTAACAGTTTTGCCAACAGAAGCGTTCCAAATTTTGATAATTTTAGTTCAGTTTTTTCGATTACTCAAAAACTATTGATTTTGGATAAAAACGGAGCATATATTCGTATTCTTTGGACGATTTTACATAGGATTCGGTTCACTTTGGGATGCTATTAGAAAAATTATTTTCAAGGTCATCTACAAATCGGGCTAGAAATGACCAAAACTTTTATTTTAACATTAAAATAATAAAACTGACGCGATTTTGCGGTTTGACAACCTGATTTTTTGACTTCTTTTTGTTTAAAATTATTTTTTCTTTCTGATACATAAATGTACTTATTTCTGTCAAACCTGTATAGTTGATTTCCTAAAAAATAATACCGAGCATTCAATTGAAATTGTAAATCGTTGTGACTTTTGTGAGAAAATAGACATTGACATTTTTTGTTACAAACATTGTTGCCAACTTAATTTTAAGTGCCACAAAAATGAAGCTAGTTTATGAACTATATACGTCATAAAATTGTCGATTTAAGAATAAATTTGAATTGGTGCATTTTTTTGTCTCGCAGTATACAGTAATAGCCTATAGCAAAAAACTTGGAAAATTATTTTTCCAACAGAAATAAATAGCCAAGTGCAACATTTAAACCCTCATAACTTCGAAATTTTTATAGATAAATTTTTTTTGCATGTTCCTGGTATCTTACCTTATATGGCATTTTTGTCTGGGGCGCGAGTTCTGGCGCACTCTGTATATTCACAAATTGAATTTTCTCAACAGTGAAATACATAAGCGAAATATAATTACATTATCTGCCATTAGGGTCGTAAACCCAGCTCCGGTCTTGCATTTATCTCATTAGTTGCATAATTTTTTTTTAATCAGTCGAAAAAACGCTTTGTTTACACTAAATTAGTAGTCGAAATTTCTAATTCTATTGTTTCTTTAATCGCGTTTTGCAATAATTCAAAAAATCGGATTTGTTCGGGGAAAAATAAAAGTCCGAAATAAAAAAAACATTATTTATTAATTAATAACAGAAATACATTAAGAAAAATCACAGACATGAACATCGAACAGAGAGTAGCAAGAATGATGATGAATTGAATAAGGCCCATGGCCGAGTTGGAAATGCAAAGCGTATCTTGCTTTTCTACAGGGTGAGACATTAAAGCAGCGTTGGACGATACTAACTTTATCAAAAAATTGCACACTTTGATCACTTGTAGTAAACACCCTGTATGAGAAAAACAAAAAGAAACTCCATCAGGCGATAGAGTAAAGTCTTCTTTACCAATATGCCAAATTTTACTTTTCTACTGTCAACTTGGCAACACCGCAAAATAATTTCAGTTTTCACAAGTCAGTATCTTTGCACGTTGCGTTAGTGACTCACCCTGTATAACAATAAAACATTTCACACAAAAAAATCCTAAAACTAGGTCTAGACCGGTATAAAAATACGTGATATGGACGACGCATCGAAATATATACAGTGTGTTTTCTTAAAATTACGAAAAATTGCAAACGGCAACAAAAAAAGAAAATAAGTGGTTTCGGAGGAAATAAACTTTATCACCCTGTATTTTCATACCTAAACTAAACTCTCGTTTATTTGACAAATTAGTGTTTTTTATGTAGTTGCAATTTTTTGCAATATTAAGAAAACACCCTGTATATCGACTGTTTTCAAACCACTTTATATATCGTTGCTAAGCAACAAAACAAATTATATTACAAAGATGGACGATTTGTTTATCGTTGCTTAGCAACTAAGTTAATTGAGAACAGTTGGATATTATATAGGGTGTACTAAAACACAAACTATTGATGAAACACTAAAAGTCCTCAAACCACACAAGTCTTTGTCGTTTTCTGGCTTGACTGGAGGCGTCCGAGGGCGAAATGAAGCTGATTATGTACCGTCGGGACTGATTTAATCCTGTGTAAATAATGGAGTTGGGTGCCTGAGCCAGAACTGTCGCCCCACTGAAAAAAAAAATCCATGTTTTTATTCCGAGGATAATTGTTCTGGGGAATGAATGCCTTTGCTTTTGCTCGACGGCGTGGAAATTTTTAATTTCGGAATTAAAATATTGTTTTATATGATTTTCATAAATGTGTTTTATTGGGCTTGAGGCGGTGAAATAACAGCCACCTGTTGCATTATTTAAATCGGGAAAAAGTTGGATTACAATGTAGTTTGATGGGAAAAACTGGGAATAGTGTGGGTGTAGAGAGAGAAATTGAAATTGTGCTCTTCGTAATTTAAATCAGAAACTCGTTATCTTTTATGTCACATGGATTCTCTCATTATGAAATCCCTTGGGATTTGTCATCCCTGAAAGGAATAAACGAGGAATTGGAGATGTTTGGATCAAAGATGCGACACAAAAATTTGGGGTTCTAGTCCCGATCAGGCCGACTTTTTTTTTAAATTCAAGAACAATAGAAAATGTTTGATCGATTGTGGAAGGACCATTTTTAGTTTTGGTGTGATTGAAGGGAAAATAAATAATCCGGATCATTACTCAAAAAGTTGGGGTTCGATCCCTGATCCGGCCAATTTTTTTTTCACTTAAAATACCATAAAAAATCATAGAATAATGAATACAGTTCCGAAAAAATACCTACTTTAGTTTGTTGGTGTAAATTTGTATTACCAACTGTGGCAAAAGTTCCTAAATTAAACTAGTTTATCACTGTCAGCGAATACAAGCCAAAATCCGCACTTACACCCGAAATGAAAATCATATTTTATACAATTTATGATGAAAAGCCTTTCCGGGGAACAATCGGCCCTTATTTCACCCTTAAAGGGTCTTCAAGTTGCAATTTCCTCGCCCGTATCCGCTCACATATCTGTTCTTAACATTTTCCCAGCTTTTTACTTTAAGTTTAGGCTCAATTAGTCAATAAAAAACTTTCTTTCGAGGGCTAGACGAGTCCTAAGAGATCGCTGTTTCTAACGATGTAGAATTTATCGTGTTTTGGTCACAAATGTATTCTAAATGGGGGAAAAACTCATCGCATGCAATGCAACGTGATGCAGGATTCGAAAATAGTGGCATGCAAAGTGCATAAAATTTTATGAAAGGACTTTTATCATATCGAATGGCCTCTTGAAAGTGACATTTTGCTCGGAAATATATCACGAAGCACTCGGGGAGAGTAAACAAAATACTTACCACAGTCGAGAGGTATGTATATCGGGTTACGTTCGAAGGCTCATCTCTTCGAGAACTATTTTAAGGCATTTCTAAAAGAAATAAAAAAAAAATAAAATAAAAACAAAAAGGATTTTCAAACAAGTATAGTTTCTAGATTCTATCACTAATTTCTGGTTCATGCTGTATATTGACTTGAAAAAAAGGAGTTTTTAAACAAGTTCTAGAACACGTTGTATAATAAACCAAATTACTACATAATTGGGAAAGCAGTTTTATTCAATTTAAAAAGAAACAAAAAACTTAAATTGATAATATAGTTCGTGTCACTTATTTTCGGCACAAGGTGTATATTTTTTTTATTTCGAAATTTGGAAAATAATTAGAAACGGTGGTCCAATTCTATCGAATTAGAAAATGTAGAAATTATGGGGGGCCTCGCGGCTTTGCCGCGTTAAATTACAAAAAAATTATATCATAAAAAATGAGAGCTCGATCCCCAGTCCGGCTATTTTTTTTTCAATAGTAATGGACATTAATACACTTTTATGAAGTTTTTAAGCCTTATAATTTTTAGATTAAATAATGAGAAAGTCTAAAATGAAAAAAAAAAACATATTGAAAAATATTGAGGTAATTTTTGGGACAAGTTAAACAAAATCTTAAAAGAGATGTAATTTTAAAGTTAAATTATTGGGACATGCTGTATATTCTGCAATGTCGTAAGCCAATTTATCAATTTCCAAGACTACAATTGAAATGTAGTTTTATTCAAAGAAACAAAAAACCAAAACTGATTTCAGGACAATATAGCTCATATCACATATTTTTGAATCATGGGGTATATAGGGTGTGTCAGAACTTGCGCCCCAGTGAAAAATTTCAAGTAAGATAAGATACCAGGAACATGGAAAAAATGTTTAAAAAATTTTATTTGTCAAAAATTTTTGACATTTATGACATTTGACATTTTTTATATCTATTTAAAAATAGGTACTGATGATTTTGTAAATGTTTTTTATACTTATTTAGTAAAGGTACAAAAATTTTTCCAATAAAAGCCACAAATAATATTAAACAGAGTTACAATTTAGGATACTTTTCTTTCTTTCTTATTTCTTTTTATAATAGCCTGTAGCAAAAAAAACTTTTTCCAACAGAAATAAATAGAGTCAAAATGCAAAATTTGAATTTTCATAACATCGAAATTATTATAGATAGAATTTTTTAAATGTTTTTTCCAAGTTTCTAGTATTTTACTCTCTGGGGCGCGAGTTCTAGCGCACCCTGTATTTTATGCCACTCGAAATCAATTAGAATTGATTGAAATTTCTAGTATTGAAAAAGGATCATTAATACACATTTATGAAATTTTTAAGCTGTTTTAAATTTTAGGTTAAATAAAAATCAATCTTGATTCAAAAAATTCGAAATTTAAATGTCTAAATTGAAAAAAGTAACATTAAAAACATATAGAACTAAGAGATATAACTCGAAGACAAATTTTCGGGATATGCTGTATTCTAGTAGAACAAAAAAGATTTTGTACTAAATTTCTTGTGGCTAACTGTATAAAACATTAAACTCTAAAATTAAAATAAGGCATTCCAAAAATTTGTTGCACAAACCTGTGTATTAAAAAAAATGAGTCGCATTAAAAAGCAGTGATTTCTAGTCCCCCCTGTATATCTCCAATGCGTGAAAAGTCACGTAGTTTCTCGGAAAATCGCAACAATAAAACCGTATTTATTTTTAATTTCCGAAGAAAGCTCGTTATGAGATAAACTGTCGTCAGAGGCGAATAAACACGCGAAAAATTCCTTGACTTGTTTACAAAAACACAAACAGTGGCTCTTTTCGCACGTGCCGTTTAACAATTATTCGATTTCTTTGATTTGTTGATTTTTCTTAAATAAACGTTTATCTTGTGTAATTTTCATCCCCACTACAGAAAAAAAATCTATACTAGCAGGCATCACACTCAAGCAAAAACAATCAACTGACCAGTTTTCCACGATGCTTAAAACTCGCCCTGAAAGTGAGAATTTTAGTTGCCATTAATCAATCCAAAAATCGCTTCCCGACTTATTCTCATACAATGCGCGATTTCAAATATAACAAAGTTTACTCTCATCACTTGTCACTGTCAGATGTTAATTAATTAATTATGGAAAAAGGCTCTTAAGTGCGCGAAACCGCTTCATAAATACAAAAAAGCTTAATTTATCAAAAGGGACGCTAATTGAAAAACCATTCAGAATTAAATTATTGTCAGATGTGTTGTGTTGGAAGTGTCATTAATAATGGAAAAAGTTTTTGCGGTTTTTACCCAAAATGATAGATGATTAGATAAGAAACGGCCATCAATCCCATTTTTTACAACAAATGGGATTTTTAGGGCTACCAACCGACAGTTGGAAAACATGGATCAAACAATTCGGTTACTATGGAGATATTCTCACTACGACTTGATTACAAGAAATATATTTTCATTTTTTTGACAAATAAACATTCCCGAGTCTCCCAGTCGATCAGTTTCTAATCTACGAGTAATAAAAGAAAAGTAATCAACACAAACTCCAAAACACTTAAAAAAATAAGGAAAAATAATCGCTTTTCCACCCGAGAGAATTGTAGTAGGTACGCAAGAAAAGTGAGCTTTTTCATCAAATTTTTTGCTTTCCACTAGAGATAAATGACTGTAATCGTCTGGTGTAATATAATGTCACATTTTTTCCTAATTCAGCGACAACTAAACGCTTTTGAAGTGGAAAAGTATTGTTTCAAGTCTTATTATTTTTATTTCGTTTGTCTATTAAATCTAAGAGCCGAACGTTGGCAAACATGAGAAACCATCATTGCATCCAAGATTTATAAAGTAAGAAGGTTGCCTCGTAGTTTTCTAACGCACCCTGTATACATAGGTAAAAAAATATAAATTTATTTTTTAAAACTTGTGCAGTATTGTAATTTATAATTTTTTATTTTTTTTTGATTTTATCAAAAATTTTCTCGATAACTGTTTATCGTAGAACACTGATCTTTTTTAGTATCTGATAGAAATTAAATTTTCTTTCCAACGGTACCAAATATAAGTGATTGTTGCCAATAAGTCCGGAGTTATTGCCAATAGAGCGCTCCGGGTGCCAAAAGTCGACCAAAATCTCGACAAAAATCAAAAAAAAAATTAACTTTAAAATTGATCCATTTTTCGTTTTTTACATTTCTAGAGGTCCTAAAGACTCAAATAAGTGCATAACATGTTATTGGGTCAAGTTTCAAAAATTTTGAATTTTTTGAATTTTTCAGGGGGAACTGTAGTAAAATCGTAAAAATAGTCAATTTACCTTAAGTCGTAAAAACGGTTGAAATATGGTTTTCTAGACGTAAAATTACTCGCTGAACACGAT